ACTCAAATTTGTCCTTTTATACTAAATGTGTGACCTGTGGCAATACCTACAGATGCATTTGTCTGTTTTCATAGTAAAGCAAATTTACAATAGATCTCTACACATTTAAAACTGGATCAGGTTAGGATACTAAATAAAATTCTAATGAAGCAAATCTCAATTATGATCCAAAAGCAGTAACTGCAAATATGTCTGCACAGCCTATAAAAATCAGTCTATTTACCTTATATAACCAAATACCCAACTTCCACACACCCCCCAAAAGGGAAGCCACCTTCAGAAATTGCAGACTTCCGTTGTTGGCAATAAAATACAACACATTTGCCAGGATTAGCAGAGAAAGGCAAGCTGACCCCTTACCTGGTAGAGCTTTATGATATGTGGATGGTTCAGAAGCTTCATCAGCTGAACCTCACGATAGATTTTCTCCAAATTGCTTGAATCTAATCGTGTTTTATCAATTATTTTTATTGCAACCTACAGATTTTAAAAAGAAAAAGGATATTTTGTTTTGTTTTGTTTTGTTTTTAAAACCCTCAACCTAATTTACACATTTCATCTTTTGCAAGTTAATTTCTCAACACTGTCTACAAAGGATCACAAGAAGTTGGGAAAACATAACCAAAGTAACCACTAATGTTATTTAAAATAATCCGAGTTAAGTAAGTGCATTAAATATTTGCAGGCTCAGTTTACAGGGCTTAGTTCTGAGTCCATGAACCACTGCACTCTCAGGTTGGTCCTTTTCTTGCCATTATCCTCTCTGCTTTCTCCCAATATATGTGCAAACTATGCAGCAACATAAAGCATTTTTTTCTTTATCGAACTAAAAACGATTACTGTTAACCCACCACGACAATCAAGCCTGCAGCACTGAATCCGCATGGGGTCCACCCGCCAAGGGTCGGTCGCCCTGGGCCCAGTGGGAAGGCCCCGCCGGCTGGGTCCCGCTGCCCCCACGCACCTGCGTTTTGGTGACTCGATGCCGCGCCAGCTTCACCACCGCGAAGTTGCCTTTGCCCAGGGTCCGCTCAATGTCGTAAAAACCCACCCGGAGGGGTTTCTGCAGGCCCTGACCCTGGCCCGCGGGGTCCGCGCTGAACTCCGACATGATAACCATGGCTCCGCGCGCACCTGCGGGGCCGCACTGAGCTCAGAGCCCACCAGCGCCCCCGCCGCTCGCGGTCGGCTCCACCCGTGCCCGCGGAGCCCCCAGTCCCTACGGGACGCGGGGACCTGCTCCCACGCCTGTCGCCCTCACTCTATCCACGGACCCCTCCAGCCCCTTGGGAAGTGTGGAACCGCCCCCGCCTCCCGCGGTCCGCTCCACCCGGACCCCCGACCCTCTGAGCCCCGCGGGGCGCGCGGACCCGCTCCCGAACCCGCCCCCGCCGCCCGAGTTCGGTTCCGTCCCGATCCCGGGACCCCCTGAGCCCTGCTTCCACACTCGCCTCTCACCGCCCGCTGTCGGTTCCGTCCCCACCCCCGACCCCTTAGCACCTCTGGGCGCGGACCCGCTCCCACACCCGGCCCTGCCGCCCGAGGTCGGCTCGATCCGGATCCCAGGACCGCCCCTAGCCCCGCTCCCACACCCGGCCCCAGCCGCCCGCGATCCGTCCCGTCCCCACCCCCGACCTCCCAGGCACCTCGGGGTTCGCGGACCCGCCCCCCACACCCGGTCCCTCCGCCCGCGGTCGGCTCCAACCCTACCCCCGGCTCCCCAGCCCCCGAACCCCGCGGACCCACTCCTACTCCGGCCCCCGTAACAAAGGGGAGCCCGAGGGCAGCGGGGCCGCCAACTCACGGCCGCGACCCCCGCGCGCGCACGGCCGGGACCCTGCGCGGTGCCGCAACCCCGAGCCCGCCCGGCGAAGCGCGGAGCCCCCACGGCGCCACCTCCGCCCGCCGGAGCCCGCCGCTGCGCCGCCTCACCTCAGCCGCCCCGGAGCGCCCAGCAGGAAGCCGCCCGCTCGGCCGCTCGCGCTGCTCGAGGCCCTACTTCTCCGGCCGCCGCCGCAGCTGCTGCCGCTCCCGGGTCCGCGGCCGCATGTCAGCCCGGACCGCCGCGCTCCGCCGCACGGCGGCGCCCGCCCCGCCCCGGCCCGCCGGCCCGCCCGCGGCCGCCCCCTGCCCCGCCCCGCCGCCGGGCGGGGCCGCCCATTGACGTCGCTTTGACCGCCAGAGCGACGCGCGGCCGAGCGCCGGAGGAGAGAGAAGCGGGAGATCGCGGTTGCCAAGGAGCTGGCGGGCCTTCTGACGCGCGGGGGATGAGGCCGTTGCCCTGGCTACCGCGGGCCGGTGACGTCAGGGGCGCCCGCCGCCCGAGGCCCGCCCGCCTGTGCTCCGCCGGGCGCCCCCTCCCGGGCGCTGGGGGCACTGCGGGCGGCCCCACCGCCGCGGGCGCGCCCGCTCCTCCACGCGCGGGGACTCGGGCCGGGTCCCGCGGGCGCCTTATGCTCGCTCCCTCCGGGAGGGGACGGCTTTTGGGCAGGGGTCGCCGGCCCCTCCACGTGACCCGCGTTCGTCCCGGCTCGGAGCCTCGGGACGTGCGGGGGCCCGGGGACCTCGCGGGCTCGCGCGTGGGGCTGGCGGCGCGGAGGCCCCAGGGCGCTGCAGGGCGCGGGGCCACGCGAGGCGCCGCGGCCACACCCAGGGCGCCCTAGGCCCCGAGAGGCCGCTTGCCCTCGGGGACGTCAGCCGCTTTTGCTGTTATAATCTCACATGTTCAGCAAGTTAGAAACTTGAAACCTAAGGAAGCGTGGCCGGCCGCTCTGGAAGCCCAGCCGCGCAGCCGGTCCCGGCCCCGGCCCTCAGCGGCGCTGGCGTCTGCGCGCCCCGGGGCTGCTCCCGCAGCATGTGGGGCTGGGACCCTGGTCCCGCGCGGGCCCGGGCGGACGCTGCGGGCGGTGACAGAGCCAGGCCGGCCGCCTGGGGAGGGGACGGGGACGCGGGACCACTTCCCTGCCCGCGGTCCCTGCCCGCGGTCCCTGCCCGCGGCCGCTGCCTCATCCGAACGTAAAACGTTTTCTCCAGGGCAGACAGAGGCTATGGGCGAAGGTATTTTTTAAGCCTGAGGACACATTTGGGAGTTAGATTCTGGATCGCGCCTAGGGTCATTTTTCCTTGTGTTAAATAACACTACTTCACAGAAGGGGGAACGAGAATTCAGGGAAGTTGGCACAAAACTTGGAACCCTTCTCGGGAGGCTTTCCTGCCTGGGCGGACGCCTGGGAGGAGGGCCCGGAGAAACTAGGATGAGCTTCTCCTGATTCGCCCCGGCAGTCTGACTACAGATTTCCCAATCGCCCCCCCTACACCCCCCCACACACACATGGGGGTTGTTTGGGAGTCAGTTGGTTTTCAAAGGCTTTCAAGGAAATGAAGAGTCCCAAAGTTTTCCTTAATCGTTCAAAGTGCTTTTTCCTTTGTCCCAGGTTTATACACCAAGAATACAGGGAATGTTTTTAGTTCCTTTCAGCTGAACAGTTGACATCTGCCTTTTTTTCTTCTGGAGGCCCCAACACCCTGTTAATCTCCTAGGAGAGCTAAACAAAAACAAGGCTGGACGCCGTGGCTCCCGCCTGTAATCCCAGGGCTTTGGGAGGCTGAGGCAGGAGGATCACTTGAGCTCTGGAGTTTGAGACCGGCTTGGACAACATAGCAAGACCTCGCCTCTATAAAACATTTAAAAAATAGCCAGGTGCGGTGGCGCAGGCCTGTAGGGCCAGCTACTTGGGAGCCTGAGGTGGGAGGATGGCTTGAGCCTGGGAGATTGAGGCTGCAGTGAGCTGTCATTGCACCACTGCACTCCAGCCTGAGCAAGAGAACAAGGCCCTGTCTCAAAACAGAACAAAGATAAAAGGCGGGGTGGGGGAGAAACCAGGCCCCTGATCACACTCACCATTCAGTCCCTCAGCCTGTGACTTAAAATATCTGCCCCCCTCATCCAGGCACCAGGCTTCCCCACCCCTCCCACCCTAGCCAGCGTCTTCCAAAAGGTCTTAGGTATTTGCAAACACCTGGCTGGCTGTTTGGAAACAGTTCATCAGCACCAAATAAAAACTGCAGCCAAACCTGCCTCCGCAGAACAGGTCCCCACACTCAGGTGCCCTTGACCTTTCACCTCGACCCAGCCCTGAGCTTCCAAAACCCCGAACAGCCCTGTGCCAACCATGGCCATCCTGTTTTCCCTTCCCTGGCCCCGCGGGCGAGGAGCTTGCTCTGCAGAGAAAGGCAGGAAGCACAGAGGAAAAGGCACGCTTGGAACTGCAGTCCCGTCTCCCCAGTGGGGGAACCCCTGGCACCCTCATAACTAAGTCTGTGCTTCAACCAGGCCTCTGCTACCCAGTGTCTTTCATTGTTATTTGTGTCCTTGACCCCCGGAAGCTGTATTTCCTTTCAGAAGCTTTGATTTGCTTTCTGTTTTCTGGTCTTCCATGCTTTTAACACATGATGAGGAAAAATAAAACACATGGTGTGAATCTAAGGATACAAGCAAATGATTCGAGAACCTCCTCACTGAACGTAATGGAAGCAATGCTCCCAAAGTCTGCAGGAATGGTACTTTATTATTATGGTTTGCATATTATTACAGATTTGTGGAGAACAGTTTTCCTTTCCACGTGGAGTTTCTTCAGCCTGCCTTATGATTGCCATGTTTCTGGAGTTCATCTTGTGTTTTAGGCCTTAAGACTGGAAACCCCAGCAGGAAATGGGTTCGTTTAATATTCATAGTTGCAGCGTGGGCCACAAGTGTGTCATAAAACTCTCAAAATAAATTGATAAACACAGAGAGTGGAGCGTGGGGCAGCATTTTTACAGAGGGATGGGTGCGCAGCTGGCCCCAGCGCCGCCCTGGGTGAGGAAGGAATCTCCCGGTGCAGCCAGGAGTCAGACAGGTTCCTCTTCCCGACCGACCCTCCCCGCTTTGATGCCTGAGGCCCTTCTCTATGCTCCTGGCTTCGCTTCAGGTGGTTTTGTACTTTTTAAATTTTGTTTCGTTTTTTTTTTTTTTTTAGGCTTCAGCCTAGTGGCTTTAGGTGCCAGAAAATCAGATTAACCACTGCAGTGGCATCCTTCTCAGGGACCCGGGGGGCCACATTGGTCATTTTGCCCCATTGTATCTGGAGAGCTTGACAGACATGTGTGCACTAGGTCAGGAAGCCGCGGCCCTGGCCTGGGAAGGGCAGGTAGGAGAAAAGCCCCCAACCCCCTCCACCCTCAAAGAATGGCCCAGTTGTCCACAGGTTAAGTCAATAACCCGCGGTGAACAGGTCAAACCAGAGACTGCCCAGTCCCAGCGTCTGCCCCCGGGACGTTGTCTCCTTCGCCTCCTACACTGAGGCTCCTTGTGGCTCTGTGGCTGCCACAGTTGTGTGGGTCCTACTGGGCGCAGGGCCCCTCCCCATCTCAGACAGCACCCACTTTCAGGCGAGGCCTTCCGCAGGCCGCTTAAATGAACCACGAAGGCCAGCAAAGCAGCAGCAATGTGTCTGTTCACAGGCCAGGTGGCCCCCCCGCTCCAGCCCTCTAGGGTTGCTGGTTCCGATTTCTGTCGCTGCCGTTAGTGAGGAATTATTTATGTGGCCAATGCGTTTTCCTGATATTTAAGCAGGGCCGTGGCCGAGATCAAGGCTGAGGACCCAAGAGGAGGCCTTTGGGTGTCTGTGTCCCTGAGCCATATGCTGAGGTCGGAGGGCAGGGGAGGGGGGGTGCAGGAAGGGGCCAGCCCTAGGGAGAGTCTGCCAGGCCCCAAACAGAGCCAGGGGTTCCCCCGGGGGTAGGGGGGCTCACTTAGGAAGAGCACCATGGACAGCCTGGCAAGGGGTCGCCCTATGCTGAGCAGGCAGCTCTGGAGTCACCACCCGCCTCACTGCAGGAAGAAGGAAACCTTCTGCAAATGGAGCAAAGGTCCCCAGAGGCAGAGCAGAAGCCTCCGGGATGCTACAGCCTCGTCCGGATGCGGGGACCAGGACTGGGGCCCAGAGCAGGCCGCAGGTGCTGGCCATGCCCTTTATCCTGGGCACTCTGCCAGGGCCACACGGAGCGCGGATCCCAGGAGATGGAGATGTCTGAGTGGCGGCTCTCGTCTCGCTGTTTCCAGGTGACGTGCTGGCTGCTAGTGTACAGCACGTAAACCATCTTTTTTTTTGGTTACTATTTACTCATGCAAAAAATGTGTGTGTTTCTGCCATTTGCAAGAAGCGTGCCAGCTGCAATGAGTCAGCGGCTGGACATGAGTGAGCATGGCCAGACTGTGCCGGGACATGGTGACAGACAGACATGCTTCGAAGGTCACCGTGGGAAGGGACAAGCCCCTACAGAGAGGTGAGACGGTGCAACGCGAGGGTGAGTTCGGAGTCGTCCTCCAGATGTCCTCAAAGGCTCGAGAGGCCCTGCTCTGTGTCAGGCACCGCGTGAAGGTTGTGGGCACGGTGGGAGGGACAAGACGCCTTCTCTCGAGGACCGTCGGTTCCAGTTACGGAGACAGTAACAGCATAAGATGATGAGTAAGGAAAGAATGCTGGCCGTGGAGGGAACTGCTTCCGGGCCTCTCCGTGGGATTTGCCAGGCGTGGACTGAGCGAGGACCTTCTCTGAGGACACTAACTGCTCCAGGAGAGGGAAGAGGTGGGGGCCGAGGCGGGGGCATGGGGCAGGAGGCAGCCACCCACACCTTCCCTCTCTGAACGCTGAGCAGAGGCTCTCAGCAGAGGAGAAAGAAGAGCAGAGGCCAAGATTGGGAAGCCAGACCCGGTGGGGGTCCTCGGCACCATCCACATCCATCTGCAACCTGCTGCCCAGTGCCTGCCTGCCTGCCTGCCCATGGTGTGCGTAGAGCAGTGTGGTCTGTTCTGGCTTCACAGCGCTGGGCACGGCCAGACAAGGATGACAGGGACAGGGAGGCAGGGACTCGGGGCTGTTGGAGCCAAGCTGAGGAGGAAGGAGCTGGGATGGGAAGCAAGTGGCAGGAATGAGCGTGAGGCCTGTGGTGGAAGGTCCCTGTGGCCTCTGAGGTTGAAGCATTTCACTTGTGCGTCTCACAGCCCAGAGAGGCCAAGCCCGGATCATGGGGGAGACAGGAGGACCCCCGTCTTGGGGCAGGCTGAAGAGACACTGGCTCTCTCCACGGCTTCCGGATGGGTCTCCGTCCATTTCAGCTGCGTCTATGAAACACGATGAAATGCTCCCTCCACTGCCGGGCCTTCTCTTATGAAGCCGGTTTTTTCTAAGTCTAAAAATTAATAGAAAAGATTCCATAGAAAATCAAGAAAGTAAGTATGTAAAGGTGAAAACAAAAAGCATCAGAAATGCTCTTCAAAGCTGACGTGTTCTTACTCACTTTTTATTAAAACAGGATGAGGCGTCCTGCCTTTTCCAGACTTATCTAGGAAGTGTCTTGCCAGGTCACCAAATGGCAAGCAGAACCGTTAGCTGAAGTTGTCTGCCTAGAATTCCACTGTGGCAATGTTCAGTGTCCCGACTGAACAGCCCCGCGCGGCAGCATGGGGGCGTGGCAGCATGGGGGGCCCTTTTCTCTGCATGCCGTTGCAGAGCCCCGTGGAACAGACACCAACAGCTCAGCCGTGAGACTGTGGCCCCACCTGACCCAGCCTCATCCAGCCCCAGCCTGCTCTCAACAGTCCCCAGTCCCATGCCAACATTTGCCACTCCGATCGCGCACCATGTGCTCCACATTTCAGGAGCTTGTTTTTGAGACAGCCTGGCTATCTGGAGCCGGTCGGAGGCTCGAGGACTGGATGCGCCAGTGGGTGGCTGTGGGCGCCACCGCCTGTTGGGGGAGGCGGTCTCCGGAGGACCACAGGGTCAGGAGCCACTGAGAGGGGACTTTCTTAAGCAGGAGGGCCCCAGACGCCTCCGCTTTGGGACCCGCGGGGGCCTGCTGCCATGGGCAGGGTCTGGAAGCCTACAGACAGTAGAGCGAAGGGCCCCGGTCGCGGGGCTCAAGCCGAATCCCAGCACTTTGGGGCCGAGGCGGGCTGGATCAGCGAGCGTCAGGAGCATCAAGACCATCCTGGCCGACACGGTGAACCCCATCTCTACTAAAAAACTTTACAAAAAATTAGCGCAGGGCGGGCCACCTGTACGTCCAGCTACTCAGGAGGCTGAGGTAGGAGAATGGCGGTGAACCCGGAGGCGGGAGGTTGCAGTAGAGCAGAGATCGCCGTCACTGCCACTCCAGGGCTTTTCTTTTGGCCGTGACAGAGAGAGACTTCCATCTCAA